GTACAGAAGCCAAGGAGCCATGTCCCCAAACACCTGGTGATTACTAAAAGCTTCATGGGTAAAAAAACAACTAGTAGAAAGATTTTGTTTACTCCGGATAGTCTGGGGAGGTGGAGTGGTGGAGAGAGGGGAAGTAGAGGAAATGCTTTTTCCTTGGCTTTGAAGATAGGAAGGAATATTAGCTCTGAGGAAGAACTCTCCCAGTTTGTCTCACCAGTGTGTTAACTCTGATGAGAAGTTACAGGGCATGAACCACTTTTGCCTATTTATCCAAACTTCTCTGGTATTATGGACAGAATTTGTGTGGAAGGTGAAGTCTGAGCAAGCAAGTGTGCAGCTTAAATCCCCAATCTTCTCACTGTGATTTATGTTGAGAAATAAATGGGTTTTATAGAAAGCATTCTAAAATAACCAACCTGTGTCAGTTCACCTCATGCTTTAAAATGCATGCTTTCACAGAACCAGTGCAGAGCAATTATGACAAATTCAAAAGTAAAGGTGTTTTTTTTTCCTCCCTTCCCACATCAAGACTGCTCACATACATCCCCTTGCCTAGCCCAGCTTGCTGTACAGTAGCTAAGCCAGAGGTCTAGCCAGTGTAATGCCCTGGCATGGTCTCAATAGTCTTTGCTGTAATGCAGCGTATACATACAAACATAGCAAACTAAAATAAGGCAAAATAAATAGAGGTGTCAGATTTACAGGTTCCCCTTAGAGATTCCTAAACCCTTTTTTTTTTTTAAATCATTCAACCCCCAAACAAACAAACAAAAAAACCCCAAAACAACCAACCAGAAACAAAACTGCATATATCATGTACATCATCAACTGTACAACTGATCTCCTTTCCCCTCATGGAAACTCCTGACACAAGCTTCTCCCACGCAACCCAGCTCAGAGTGTGAGCTTTCCTAAAGAAGAGGAAAGACTCAGCCAGTGGGGCTGACCATTATAGAAACACCTGCCCCATAGCCTCCCACCAGGGCCCCTCACGATTCTTTTCCCTTCCTCAGACATTGTGAACACATTACGGAAATGCTTCTGAAGGATGCCAAGGTTGTCTCCCTAGTGGGGAGTCTGTTACCCCTGAACATTAGTCCTACTTCTGTTCTTGTAGGGAACTGGTGCCTGGACGATAGCTGTGCTGCAGGGTATGGAAGGGCCTTGCTGACCTGAAGTCACTTTACCTTGTAGCTTTTCCAGAGACTTATGAACTACTGAGAAGAGTGATCCAGACCAAAGGGAATGGGAGGGAGTTCTTCAGTCTTTTCTGGGATCATCCTAATGAAACCTGCTTAACAACTACATAAAGACATAGAGGGTAGCGAGTGAGCACTAGACCTCTAGGGTCAAAGTCTAAAGAGTTAGAAAGTACCTCCTCTTCTAGGTGTAAAAAGTTAGCAATGACTAAGTTTCTGCAGGAAGCAGAACAAGCCCTCTATAATACCCTTCTTTTTCATTTCCCTTAGTCCTCCACTTATTTCCAAAGACAAAGCAGTTTCACTTAAAACGCTGGTGCAACAGCAGACTCCAGCTCTTCTCCAGCTCACAGTGTGATAAAGAGGTTATGCCTCAATGTTATGCTTCGTGACTGCTTGATATACCTGTTCAGGCTCTGCTAGCATTAGAGGACAAGAAATAAGATCTTCCTTTCTCCTTCACTGTTCAGCAACTCTACCACAACTGCTGATGAAGAAGAGGGCATAGATGCACTCACAGTACCCAAGGGATGAGAAGCAAGGACAAATGGCTTCAGCAAGAATCTGACACCAAGCCTAGAGCAGAGCCAGCTTCTTCCCTTATCTTCTGTGTGGCCAGCCTCATCTCATACAGTAGACCTATTAACGGGTCTCCCTGCTTGTCACCACCTATATGAAATCACTGCTTGCCAGGGTTTTCCAAAACCCTCTTTGTGAACATTCACCATGGAGTCAAGAGCCAGGGCAGACTGTCCAGCATGCTGAACAAGGCCTTCAGCCACCACCACAGCTTCAAAACAGCAGTCTGGGGCACTGGAGTGCTGAGAAAGTTGAGCTGCAGTGAATCAGGGGCATGACTCCGTGCTTTCTGTCCCTCCCAGTAAGCATCCCATAGCTGATTTACAGAAGTTGCACAATCTCTTATTATCTGTGTATGAGTCAAGCAGGTGGCAAAACCACATCAGCTTGCTTTGACTCTGTCAGTGGGGCCAGAGCACCACGTACCATCATACAGAATGTCTTTAAATCGGTGTTGAACTGTGTACTCCAACAGACAGAGGGCTTATCACTCTCTCTGCGTTTGCTACATTTGTGGCCTGGCAAAGTGATTTCAGTTTCAAAAACCACAGCACAAACCTGTTTTGACAAATACAGGGGTGGGTGGAATGCTGTATTTATATTCAAGGGTTTTGCCCTGAGGTGTTTCTTCTCTGTCAGCACTGCCATGCTGACAGTCTACCTTACTGAACAAGTACCTGGGGAGCAAGCAAGCAGCCCTAGGTTGGACAGAGCCACGAGTCACATCATCTTGAACCAAGGCTGACCTTGGTACTACATCTAAATTTCTGTGTGAGTCCTAAACCCAGGGAGAACAAAGAGGGGAAAAAATATGATGTTCTAATCCCTAAAAGCATCATCTTTGGACTTCAGGGATTATCCAAAGCTAAACTCAACAGTATACCAATTTGGCACATATTACCACCTCTCATATGGCTTACATGGCATAGGTTATATGGCATGCTTCAAATCAAGACAAACAAAAAGGGCTGGCGTGTAGCATGTCTACTTCAGGGAGCAGCAAGGAGCTTGTTAATATAATTTACAAGAGACATTTCTAAAAATCCATTTTGTAATTTAAAATAAAAATGCTTTAAAAAGTGAGAGTTTTTCTTAAACTTTCAAAAACCTTTATGAAATACAGTCTTTCTTCTACAAGGTGCTTGTGTCCGCTGCAATGGGTATTGCTGTTAATAGCTAATCCCAGAAGGGGAGTGGGATAGTAAGGGAGGAGAATGCACCCAGCTCTTGTAAGATACCAGCTCTTTACGATGAGTATTACACAGAGGCGCGGCAGTCTGGAATGTCGTAAACAGGGAAATTCTGGGTTGGGAGACTCAAATTTCAGTAAACAATGAAAAGTTAGAGTTTAACAATTCTGACTTTTTAGCTTCTTTCCATAGTTTACATAATTATTTAAATCTCAAAGTGTTCAGAAAATCACCACAGTTTGCTTCTCCGATATCGGTAGTGTGTAACACTGATCAGGCAGCATGCATGGCAGAGGAAGTTCTGTTCGGTAGACTTGGTGCGGAGCCTGAGGTTAAGTGACATTCAGAGATAAATCAAACCAAATGATTAAAGTGACAAATTGAGCTTCTTTCACTTCTCTGGGATTCCTTGACATTTTGTGCTGTTGACTATTGATGCATATTTTACGTAGATGTTGGATACCTCTTCTCAAATATTCTCTCTTTTCTTCCTATCTAGGAGAAAGAATCATCATAATTTGTTTTCCTTTTTTCCTTCTCGAGGGAAGTTAATAAAAAAGGAAGACAGATTAAAAAAAACAAAAGAAAAAAAGGAAAAAGCTCACATAATCCAATCCCTTTCCTAAAGCCATGAAGACACACAGAATTCAGATCTCTTTTTGGGGTTCTTTGCTTTTTTGCTGTGTGCTTTATACATGTAGCTTACCTACAATTTTTTTCTTCTTATGTATTAACCCATGTCCAAAGCCTGGCTGCCTTACACAGTTCTGTGTCCTCCTGGAACCAAAAAAAATTAATTTTTATTGTGAGACCCTCCATTGGTTCATCCTAAATGATCCTTTCAAAATGAAAAAGGCTGTGAGCTACAAGGCTCTTCTTTGACAGCATTCATATCTTGCTGAGTTACATGATTCCCCTAGGTAGGAAGGGGGTGTATGCAGTGAAGATCAGCCTGTTCATGCCAACAGCATGAAAGACCAGTTCATGACAACAGCAATCACAGCTAGCATCAAGTGGAAAAGAAATCTTATTTCTTGCAGCCAGTGACCCTGTTTGTTTTTTGCTACTTGTGACCTGTGGATGATACTAGGAGCTCCTGATTTCCATCGGGATGCACTAAGAAACCTTGCACAAACAGGTAAGAAATGTTCTGCTGTTTTCCTTCCACTCTCCAACAACGGCAAAGGTTCCACAGTCATCTATTTGTAATCCCAACCTGGCAGTGGCTTAATTTTTTAAAGAAAAGCCAGAGCCACCTTTCTAGAAGATTAATTTCATAGCTTCAGGGCACAATCATCAACAAATTCCACAAAACTGAATCTAGAAAAGCAGAATCCAAAAGAATTTTGCAAAGTATTTTAGGCTGATCTTGATTCTTGAATTTCAACTTGTTCCAGAATATGATTACTTCCTTCTGAGCATCACTTGCTTTGGACAATTTAGGGCACACAAAAATACCATACAGAACATGAGATCAAAAGCATTTTTCAGCTGCTAATCAATGGCTTATAAAACCCAATTCTGGAAGGGAATTGGAAACCTAGAGAATCACATCTTGATGAGACCCTGAAGGCCAATCTAGATCTTGAAGAAGCGACAGGTGTTTACTGAGCTGTTCCGAAATCAGTCTTGCTTGTTATCAGCAAGATAGCGATCGTGACTAGTTTTCACTTTGGCACACAGAAAATTTTCCTTCTCCAGCTGTGAGGCAGTCTGCAAGGCCCGAGTACTTTCTGTCATCACCATGAGGCCTCTGATGACACAATAAACTCCCAGAAGCAAATCTGTCAGCTCTGCATAGCCCAGTCACAGGCCTTGCTCGCTTCACAGAGGCACTTTTATAATGGTTCAAATTAGGAGCACAGAAGAGGGATGAGAGGAAAGCTGATCATGGAAAGGTAACGTCTCTAGCCACAGACCAAAGAAATCCTTTGGGGAAGCTGTCAGCCAGGCGCCATCGCACACATTCATCTTCCTTGTTTTGCACTTTTTCATCACCTTCTATGGTTGTTTCTTTTTCATCCTCTTGTAATTAATAATTTAGCTTTGTCACCACCCGCTCCCGGCTTGTCTCTAAGCCTTGGTTCCCCGAACGCTTGCGGTTACGCTTGAGCTTGGATAAGTCTTTGTCAAAGACTTCACCCGATCTTAATGCTGAGACCAGGTCATCAAACTCCCCACTCTCTTCAGAGATGCTTCCAGCTTTTGCTTTCTTTTGTCTCCTCTCTTTCTCCCTCTGCTCTTTTAGCTGTGGAGAAAGACACAGAGCTTTAGGATTAGCTGACAAAGATCACTAGGTACACTGCCAAGAAGCACCTAAGATGCACCAGTACAATTTACGGGAAAAAAGAGATCAGGAGCTTATCCACAAGGCCATCACCTCTGCCAAGAGCAATAGACAACCATGCTGGGCTTCCTTTCTTCTGCACAGACAAGCAGAGAGGATGAGGAATGAGTAGCATCATACTGTTTGCCTCACAAAGTACTACCACCCTGGAGCAAAGAGGACACGTGGGATCTGTCTATGCTGCTGCTGGTTTACAGTAATTTTACAGTAGGATAGTGCCAGCAAAGCAGCTGTGCCAAATGACACAGCTTCTGGGGCCAGGCTTACAGTGACCTTAGTGTGCCAACACCTACTATACTAACAATACCCAACCTAGAGAGTCTGAAGTTAATTTGGATATGCCTATACAAACCACAGACACTTAGTACAGTCACAAATAGCTTTGTGCTTGTGACACAGCTAGCTTAATTGACAGGCAGAAAGATTGCAGCCCTGCAGAAGGAAGAAAAGAAAAAAGGGAAAACCCCAGAAAGCCACAAGCTAAATGTGCTGAAGAATGAAAACTGTGCGAGATAACAAAACATCAAGAGAAACCCTATCCACCAGACAGCTCATGTTTGGATGGACGCAGCGTGTTGCAGCGATGGGAAGAGGAAGGCACATTGCCTCAACTCTGGAAAGAGAAACTGGTTATAAACACAAAGAGCAATGAAGTAGAACTGCTGATTTTACTAATCATTGGAGAGGTCCACCTGTCAATGTGATGCCCTTGGTCTCCCTAGGGTAGCTCCAAAGAGTTCTGTTATCCCCCTCTACTCCTCAGCTCTAAGATTAGTGGAAGCGACAAGGGATGGATGTGACTGTCAGGAAGCAGGTCGCTCGCTCTGCGCACTAGCCCCACATTGCAGGAAGACTCTTTTCATAAGCAAATTGCAACCTCTCTCACGGTGTATTAGGCCTACAAACCACCCTAGTGCTTTAGCAGTGGGCTCCTGCACTTTCCAGGCTAGCTGAGAAGAAACTTGAGCTTAAGCCCTGGCATTTTATCCCTGTGTCCAACAATAAGCCTGCTGGCATCCTGGCATTTTACCTCTCTCCTCTTCTGAAAGGCACAAAACATTGCTTCTGGCACAGCAAACATTTAAAGCAGCAACTCCCCACAGCAAGGCCTGGGGCCATGGTGGCAGCTGGGGTTAAAGCGCTGGCAGGGGGGAAGAAGGCAGGCGACTGCTGAGCCGTTCTCAGGCCTCAGGAACGGCCAAGGTTAGAGGGGGAGGCTGGCTCACATAAACCTCTGGAGACACACACATCTGTCTCCCAGCAGCGAAATTAACAATGCGCAAAAGCTCTCTCACCACATCAAGGCCAGACGTGGCCCCAGTAATCAAGGCATTAAGGCTGACCAGAGAGAAATACCACCAGTGTAGTCTGCAGCAGGTGCCAGGGCATTTGCTGTGTCACCACACACCGTCAGGTGACAGGCACGCAGCAGATGATGATGGACTTTGAGTGGAAGCTGGCCAGCAGGCAGAACTGAGGGAGATCTGGCTCCCAGAACTTTTGCACAGAGGCCAAAAGCAGGATAGTCAAGCACTGAGCAGGGGAACACCATGCCACAGCTGGGGCAGAACAGGCAGGGCTAGGTTTGGTACCTGAATCCAAAAGAGGGTGATTTAGGAGCTAAACAGTATGCCCTCGAGATCTGACAGGACAGTCAGCAGGAGACAGGACAGTCAGAAGGAATAAAAGTAATCATTTGTGAAGAGAATGATGCTAAAGAGAGGTGGCAGTGATGGGACACGAGCAGTGGAATCGGCTTTCTCAACCTTTGTCTTGAGATATGAAAATCCAATGAAGGAAACACCCTCGTGTGCCAAGGTCCTCACCATGGCCTCCATGCGTGCCCTGCGCTCCTCTTCTTCCTTTTTCTTCCTCATATTCTCCAGATCTTGCTTGGCCTCTGCAAATGACTGTAAGAAAGTGTCGAAGATGCCAAAAAATTCATCTGGCTGCATCTTGCCTTCGCTCTCTCCAAAATGCTTCAGTGCCTTGGCATACTGTCAAGGGGGCAAAAAACACAAGAGCAATAATTATGCAGGCAGTTGGTGAAAACAGCAAGGAAAGCTGATGAGTAACCACATGTGTAATTCAACGCCCTCTGAGCATTCATGCAGTGAGAGCAGAAACTATCCCCGGGTATCAGAAGTGCCTCTCCTTATGGCAGGTGCCTCTGTCTCTGAAGAATCTGCTCCCCTAGATATCCTTTGGGCAACACAGGGTGATGGTACTGGAGAGCACTCGCTGTCCACTTATTAAAAAACAAACATGTTCAGTGCCTGAGGGTGATGGAGTAATCTCAAGAGGATGACTGTCTGGCCACATCTCAGCTACAGCTGTGGGACAGCAGGGAAACGGAAAACAGAGAGCTAGCTGGGGAAACAAGTAGTTTTAGTCCACCCTAACTACCAAACAAGTAGGCTTAGCTCACCCTTTCCCCTTCCACCTTCTACTCAACCCCCCGTTTAAAATGACTGGAGTTAGAGGGGTTTTTTTCAGCAATGTTACAGCCTGTCCTCTCAGGAGCCTTTTGCCATGTCATCCATCACTCTGGAGTCCTCTGAGTCAGGGTGTTGCCTGGGAGAGAGGAGACTATGGACAGACATGGCATGAGAGAGGGCCAAGGAAGGAAGCCAGGGCTCCCGGGCAGACTTAAAAGGGAGCGAATACATCACAAGTGGCTTTTATTTTAAAAGGCAAATGTTGAGGCTGCAGGATGCATGTGGAAGCAGCCAACTGGCAGTACTTCAGTCACAGGGCAATCCTGATTGGGATATGGTAAATTCACAGCAACCTCTGGCTCCTGGACATCAGTCCTGCAGTAGTTGTACTCTCTGCTCTCTCACACTTAAAAGTATGCCTCTGTACTCACCAAAATGCACTCAAATGCATGCACATTTAGTCTGTCAAGAGCCTGTATGCACATGTCCTGTATAAGTGTGTAAGTCCTATACATGCAAAAGCTGTGTCATTGCCCAGCCACCCTCACTCAGGTATCCCTGCACTGCAAAAGGCAGCACCAGCCACACATTCCTGACATCACTGGTGCCCTGATACACAGCTCCCCCAGCAATCCCTGCTCGCACTTTTAACATACCACCACTGAGCAGCAGAGCATCCTCAGAGACCTCAGCATTTACCAAACCAAATCCAGATTCTCCCAAGCTATGGACTGCCTTCAAACTCTCTTGTGCATATATTGAGCTCATACAAACACAGCCCAGTTTCCCTTTCTTTAGGTGGGTGCTCTTGCAGAATGGAAAACACAGTAAGAACAGTTCAAGCTCCAATTTCAAGTATGAAATGAGTTTGGAAGCAGGTCTTATAAACCCCTCTGGCCCTGTACCAGGTAAAGCATAACCAACGTCTCCCAGTTAACTGCAGGGGAAAGAAATCTCCAAGGAAAGCAGCTTCCTCCTGGCACAGCCTGAGAGATTCAGCATCTCCCCTCCTCTGCTTTTGCTGCCAGGCCCACAAAGCAGTTTGAAGAAATAGCTTCTTTTTTCTTTAAAAGGCTGTGTTCTCAGCCAGAAACAAACAAAGAAACCCAAAGTATCTGAGGAAAAAAAAAAAAACAGAAAAAAAAAGTCTTGGAAGAAATGCAAGTTGCTTTGAGCTACCAAACATGGCAGGAGTTGAAGGAAGCACTACAGCAGCAAGTCATGGAGGGACTTCAGAGTATGGAAACAACAACAGATTACTCCTCTGTTTTAACTCCTTTTCTCTGAAACCTCTGAAGACACATACTCGCAAGTATGCACATCTACTCCCTCTCCCTACCCCTTCCTCTGTATAACGTACACATAGTCTGCTTGAATATTAGGAAAGTGCAGCCATCTCACAGTAATCCACACTGACAAGCACAAGCTCTTCAGCAGAGAGAACACAGGCTATCAATAAAGCAGAGGGAGATAAAGCTTATCCACATGCTGTATTTTCTTGGCTTGCCTGCTCCAGCATGCCAGTCTGCCAGGGGAGCAGGA